CTTTGTTGCAGCATTCTTCACAAAATCAGCTTAGGTGCTTATCAACAGATGAATGGATTCAGAAAATGAGGTAAATGTCTACTGTGAAATGTTAAGGCATAAAGAATGGAATCCTGTCATTTGCAGAAAAAAAAATGGATGTAACTAGAGAATATCACGCTAAGCAAAATAAGCCATACACAGACAAGTATCATGTTTTCTTTCATATATGGAAAGTAGTTTTTTTTTTAAAAAAAAAAAAAGCATGAAAAGAGACTGTTAGGGTAGGGGAAGGAAACCAGAAGAATCGAGGAACAGAAGATGGCAAGATAGCATAGTAGGGCAGGTGGCTATAATCAAAGCACAATATATGCATGTATGGAATGTGACAGTGAAACCCATTAATTTTTTTAATCAATATGCATTAATAATTACAATAAAAACTTTCATTTTGTGGTTATGATGCATTAAATATCCTGATCTTGTAATGAAACTAATATCATAACTTCGACTCAGTGATTATAAATGATTTTTTGAGATATCACCAAAAAGTGTAATGTAGTGATTTTGTTGATGACAAATTCACAGGTTGTATAGTGGTGTAGTACCTACATTCATGATTAAATGAAATTATATCTTTTGTTTAAAATTAGTAAACACTAAAGGAATAATTTTTTCCTATCCAAGTTCATAGACTGATAGTTCTCCTCATTTCCAAATTGACAACCCCCTGAGTGGTTTACTGGACTTGTGGTGGGAGAAATCCTTGTATAGAAATATTATGAATTCAGGAAATGGACACAGAGAACTGTAGAGGCCAAATTAAAAACCCCTGCAGTAGTCCCTTTTCATCTTCCATGAACTCTTGTTTGGCAAGCAAAATTGGAATAATCATGTTAAGAATTGTGCTGGAAAAAATGTCATTAATAACATCTTTTGTGGAGCATCTCCAAGGTGTCAGGCATTGTGCTAGGAACTGAAGTGTACTTTCATGAATCCTCACATAACTTTACAAGGAAGTGGGAGTAAATTCCATTTTCAAATGAAAAAATGAACACAGAAGCACAATAATTTGGATGATGTGCATATATGCTAAAAGTTTTTTAATCAGAAGTTTTTTCTATTTCTACATAAAAATTAGCTGAGTATATAGTAAAGATGCAAGTTTTATACAGATTCTTAGTCTAGATGTCTTAGAAATGACATTTTCAGGGGTCAGACGACTCAGGGGAGTCAGCATCAAACCACATGCTAAGATACTCTAAAGTTGTTTGAAAAAATGGTGATAAGTCACTACTCCTACTCTGTATTCCAAGGCTCAACTTTATATTGCTCCATTCGTAATGAAGAGAAAGACAGAGTTCAGAGAAATAAGGTTAGGCTCAAAGAAATTGGGCTGAGTTGAAGATTTAATCTAAAAACAGCTAATTAAAATAACATGGTAAGTAATAATGATGAGAATAACAATAGCAGTAAGTAGCAATAATGGCTTTTCATGCATACTCGTTTTATAGGTAAAACAAAATCCCTCTAAGTTTTGAGAATTAAAAAATTTGGATTCCAAAGATCATAGACTCAGGGATGTGGAGACATGTCACCATTTTGAAAAGACTCAAACTCTTCTTTCCTAGAGTGACATCCTTATGTGTGAGTTCCCCCACCCAGGGACTCTAAGTTGTCACATTTACTAGTGTACATTTGGCACCAAATCTGCACTGAATACATGTTCAAAATTGATACTAAGTGTTCAAATTCAGTGTTTTTAGAATATGTGAATGACTGACAATACCAAAACTAAAAATAAGCATATATTTTGTGAACACAAGTTGGAAAAACACAAGAGAATTTTCAATAATATGGAAAGGGAAAATTCCCTTTTACCACATGTACTTCAGATAGAGCATTAATCTCCAGGATTTATCAAGAACTCAAAAAAACTTAATATTAAAAAAACCCTATCAATAAATGAGCTGAGGAACTGAAGAGACACTTCACAGAAGAAGAAATACAATCAATAAATGTTAAAATTTTCAATTTGAGAAAAGCAATTAGCAACTAGAAAAAGGCAAATCAAAACTATTCTAAGATTTCTTCTCACTCCAGTCAGAATGGCAATTATCATGAATACAAGCAACAATAAATGTTGGCAAGGATTTGGAGGAAAAGGTACACTCATACATTGCTGGTGGGACTGTAAATTGGTGCAACCAATCTGGAAAGCACTATGAGATTCCTTAGAAAACTTGGAATGGAAACACCATTTGACCCAGCTATCCCACATCTAAATCTATACTCAAAGGACTTAAAATCAGCATATTACAGTGATACAGCCTCATCAATGTTTATAGCAGCTCAACTCACAATACCTAAATTATGGAAGCAACCTAGGTGCCCTTCAACAGATGAATGGATAAAGAAAAATGTGGTATATATACACAATCAAATATTACTCAGCCTTAAAAAAAAGAATGAAATTATGGCATTTGCCAGTAAATGGATGGAGCTGCAGAATATTATGCTAAGAGAAATAAGCCAATCCCAAAAAAACAAAGGCTAAATGTTTTCTCTGATATGTGAATGCAGATTCACAATAAGAGTGGGGTGTTAGGGAAGAATAGCCTTACTTTAGATAGAGAGGAGTGAAGGGAGGGGAGGGGATATGGTGGTAGGAAGGATAGTAGAATGAATCAGACATTATTACTCTATGTACATATATGACTACACAATCAGTGGGATTCTACATCATGTTCAACTATAAAAATGAGAAATTATTTTCCATTTATGTATGATGTGTTACCATGCATTCCACTGTCATGTATAACTAATTTAAACTAATCAAAGAATGTAAAACTAAAAAAAAAGGGTGGGGGGACCTTCTCAGAATAAGTCTACATATTTTTCAGAAGGAGTTACCGAAAAGAATAGTAACTTCTGCATCTCCACAAATCCTTGGATGGTTATAAATAAAGAATATAATTTTTTAAAAAAACATGTGTGATGATGAAATGGAAGTGCTTATGAAATATGGAATAAGGCAATGAGAAGGTCACAGATGAATAAAAGGATGGAATCAGACACCCCTTGGGGAATTCCATTGTGTAACTTATAGATTTTATAGAATTTATAGATTTTCCTCTCACTAGTACCAGGCAGACACCAAAGAGGGATCAGGTAAAGAAGACCAAGACTGATGGAGGAGCAAACAATTGAATAAAAGGACAACAACTGGCTGATGTCTAGCAAGATGTGCTGTGATAGTGAACTTTCCCAGTTTTCAGCAGCTAAAGACTCAAGGAAATGAATTCATAAGCTGCCTCTCACTGGGTGGAGATTTGATAGGGAGGAGGAGATTTTGACCCAAGAACCAAAGAAAAGGATTCCTCTGACCTCAATTTGTTGGTAAAAAAAATGTTTAGAAAGTGAATACAATTTATGTGCACTTCTGTAGCCTGAAGTGTGAACAAATTACATTTTACTGCAAATAAAACTTAGACTGATGTGTCCAGTCCATATTTTTTTAAAAATAGTTTCCTATATTTATTGTTTGACTTGTAAACCTTAGATTTAGATAAAAACAACAAAGAACAATAGAGGTAAAAGTCAATTTAAAAGTCTAATTTAAAAATAAAAATATTTTGCTAATGTTTAAAAAGGGAGAGGTAGGAAAAAAATGTTTCATCCTAGATAGAAAATGGCTTTGTTCATAAAACTCAGGCTTCAAATTCAGCTCAACAAATTAACTTATGTGATCTTGGGTCTATTACTAAAACACCAAACACCTGATTTCTACAAACTGTGAAGAAGAAAAATACCTAGAACATCTACTTCACAGGGCTCCTACAAGGATCTACTGACACTAGTGAGCAAATATTTATTGAGCATTTAATATGTGCTAGGCAATGGGCTAATGCTCAACAGATATATAATAATCATGGAAATATAGTCTTAGACTTTTCAAAGCTCAGAATCTTTAGGAGAGGACAGATAGTGATGTATTATAAGCACTTTCTATAATAGAGGCATGTGCAAAGGGCCATGAAATCAAGGAAAAACTTGTGTACTCTGTGTGGAACAAGCCTCAAAGGGATGGCAACAAACAACTCAAGCAAGGAAAGATAAACCAAGCCAGAAATGACACCTACATCAATATTAAGAGGTTTCATGAATTAATTCACATGGATGATAACTACCAGAAACATTTCTAATTGTATAAAAATATTCTAAAATAGTTGAAGCATTTATTCTTACACTTGAAGTAAGCAAGTAAAATAGATATGTAAATACAACTCATTAATTTCCAACTTTTGACTTTTAAATTCTTAAAATTTGTTCTTTGTTGTTTGCATCCAGTCCAGATTTTTAATACAAACAGAAATGCCATATTTAAGACCAAGACACATCAGAAGCAATACTATGCTCATCATAAAAGAGATTTCATTATTGAAACTACTTACATTTGCTAAAATAAATCCATGTTCTTTTACTTAGCAAAGCTAATTTCTTCCCTGTTGTATTGGACCTTAAATATCCCCCCAAAGGCTTGGTCCCCAGCTCATGACACTATTGGGAGGTAATGGAACCTGCAGAGGAGATAGGGTCCAGAGAAAGGAAGTTAGGTCATTGGATGTATCATTAAAGGGGATATTGGACCCTGGCCTTTATCCTGTCTCCCTCTCTTTGCTTCCTAACTGCCATGAGATAAAGAGACCTCCTCCACACTCCCACCCACCAGGAGGTGCTGTGCCACTATATGCTCAAAGCAACAGGGTGAGGCAACCACAGACTAAAATCTCTGAAACCATGAGCCTAAATAAACTTTTCCTCCTTATGTTTTTATCTCAGATATTTATCACAGTAATGGAAACCTAAGACACCCTTCTTTTTATTCTTGCTCTTCTTTGCTTTTCCTCTTGCAAAAGAAGGAAAAGTAATATCCATCTTCATCCTTCCCCCCTTTCCCCTCTTGATACCAAAGAAACCATTTGTGGTTTTTGCCCTTGTTTCAAGAAAGCAGCCAAAGTCCAGAGAGTAGTGTGTTTTAATTCATTTTCAAAAACAAACTCACATGGATTGATTCTTCAGGTCACCTTACTTGGACCTGACACATTATATATTCCAAATAACTGCATAGTTACATTAACAGTTTCTTGTGCTGCAGAGTCACTGGGTGCAGGTAGCAGTGAAACATTCCCAAGACAATCACTAGACATGCAGAATGCCAGCCAGAAGCATGGATCACTTTCAGGGGTCTTGCTGCAGGGAGCATGAGTTTGTATTTTGTGTGCATTTAAACTGTGTAGTAAGCCAAGGGAGCAAAGCACCCCCTCTTCCCTGAACCTTTCCTCCCAAAGGAAGCTTGTTTTCAATCCCTAAACTTCAGGGCCAGAAAGCTCTCCAAGTGGTGTTGCTTGCTTCTTGGAGAGTCAAAAGCAAGTCATCATAAGTATAAAAGCTGGCTGACCCCCTTCTGTTTGGCTCCCCAGCATGGAGAAAAAAATTGCAATTTAGCCCATGAATCCAAAGAACTCCCCCATCTCTGGATTTAAGCATGGACACAGGCCAAGCAAGCCTCGAATACCCAGGCCTGTTGGATTGTAGCTATGTTGGTGTATCCCATGAGCAAGGTGGAAAGTGTTTTTCTTTTTCTACCTGATCCAGTTGGGGGATAGGACTTGGGGGCTGCCTGCCTAATGACCCCTAACCCATGTGCTTGTACTCAGATCTATCCCTGGGGATCTGCACCTGATTGGCAGTCATTTTGTGGTGGAGGTGGTAAATCACGAGCGTTACCACTATGACAAGGCCCAAGATAAGCCCCAAAATCAGGGGCAAGGTTTCTTCCAACTGCTCTCGTTCATCCACTGGACATTTATGTTCTGAAATGAGAAAGAAAAAAGGAGTGAGCTCTGGTCAATGTATAATGAAAAACTAAGACAAAAATAAAGATGAAAAGATCTTTTAAAGAACCATTGGGAAAATTCCTTCCAGAAATAATACTTCCTCAGTGAATCCCAAGGCTCAGCCACTTAATATTTCTCCCCAATGTAAAATAAAAATACATCACTCAAATAGGGCAACATTCAGTTATCAGATTCCTGGCATTCACCAACAAAACACCCGGAGTTCAGTTAAATTTTCAACTTTTTTCAATTATATTCAATAGCTGTTATTTTTATTAATTTTTTTTAACATTTTAACTCAAGTATGCCCATACACATATACCATAAAAAATTGCATACAAGTATACAACTTACAAAAATCTTTAAAATAACAAGTGTTTAAAATAATATGGAACAAATGGAACTCAACAGCCTTGGTGAAAAATGGTATAACTGCTCTGTAAAACGGTTCAATAATTTCTAATAAGGACAAATATATACCTACCTTATATCATAGCATTCTCTTGCTAAGTATTTACACAAGAAAAAAAATGAAAATATTTGGACACAAAAAAACTTCAACATAAATGTTCATAGATGCTTTATTAACAAGAGTAAAACACTGGAAACAAGAAAAATATCCTTAAAAGTTGAATAAATTGCAGTATATTCATACAATGGGGTATCTGTCAACAATAAAAAGGAGTGAGCCAGGTACAGTGGCCCATATTACTATACTCAACTACTCAGGCTGAGGCAGAAAGATCACAAGGTCAATCCCCTTAACAATTATATGAGGTGAATAAAGTTATTGTGCCCATTTTATACATAAGATAACTGAGGATGGATAATGTGTGCTCAGGCATAAACAAAGCCCCATCTGAACTCAAACAGTTTAGCAACATAATTAGGGCAGTGCTTAGCAAACCCCAGCTACTAGTATTAAAAGACTGCTGAATTCCAAATCCTAAGGAGGAGCAGGATGTAACCTGATCTGTATGCTGGTCACAGAGGTACATTCAGGTTCTGAAAATCCATTGAGCTGGATATTTATTGCAAAGGTGTATGAGGAAACTTTCAGAATTGCTGATAGATTGATTTCCTTGATTGTGGTAATAGTTTCATAGGAGTATTCACAGGTCAAATATTTATCAAACCATGCAGTTAAGTGTGTCTAGTATATAGTGTGTCAACTACACCTAAAGTATGTATCCTAACTAAAAAAATACATATTCTTAAAAATAGTGTTAAAACAAAAAAAAATAGTTCAGCAAATGTTTGAGAAGTGTTAAGAACCTGTTAGCACTAAGTGGATCCTTTCCTCTTATTAAAAGGAGAATGCTGGAAATAAATTTTAGAAGATTGTGTTGTTGTTGTTGTTGTTTTACAACTTTATTCAACTCTAAATTCCAATTCTTTGAGGATCAGCTTGTAGTCCCAGATACCAGTCCTCCTAGGGAAGAGACTTGCTGATAGTTCCCAGAGCACCAGGGGCAGTGGTGGACCTAGATCTCCATGATGACAGAGACCTTTCCCCATGACACCACATTGCCTCTGATCTCTGTCTCACACCAGTCTGCTTTTCAAGGAGGCCCCAGGCATCTTTGCAACACTGGCCTTCTGGCCCCATCCTCTGCCTCTTCCCTTCTTATTTTCCCTCCCACAGAGCAGTTTCCTGGGTGGACCCACCTGTTGGACCCTGATTTTTAACTCATTTCTTTTTACTTGGTTGATAATTACCCAGGCAACCAACTAACCGAGGTTCTCAGATATAACACACACCCTCCCAGGAATGCAACACAAGAAGGAGAGTTGAATCAGGAAGCAAGAGCTTATGTCGCTAAACCACTGGACATCAAGGCCATACAACATTCTCCAAGACAGTGTGGCCACAACTCCAAGTGCTCAAAATAGAGGTGTGGACAGACAGTCCAGGAGAGCTTGGTCAAAAAGAGAAGTTGGAGTGAACTGGGAAGAATCTGGGAAGAATCTGAGGATGGGCCTCCAAGATCCATTGACCAGATTATAAAGTCATATTTTCTCTCTTTTTATACCACATATCTACCAGTAAATAAACAAATATATAGACAGATGTAACTATAGGAATATAGATGTAGGAGCTTTGGGTACAGTTCAGAGGCAGAATGAATGCTTAATATGCATAAGGCCCTGGGTTTAATATTCAATGAGAGAGAAAGAGAGAGAGAGAGAGAGAGAGAGAGAGAGAGAGAGAGAGAGAAATATAGATGAACTTTTAGTGGTCCCCTGGGTCCAGACTCTCATAGTGAGAGGGAGCATATGCAGCGGAACACTGTTAGGGAGATTGAGGAAAGTGAGCTCAAATCTCAGATATTCCACTTGCCTTCTAAGTAAGCTTGGGCAAGTCACATAACCTACCTAAACCTCCGATACAATAGGGATAAGATGTATTTTAGAGGGTTTACCATTAGATGTAATAACACAGAAGGCCAGGCAGAGTAGACTTTCTATCACTGTTATCTATAAAGATAGACTTTTTTTACACATGTAAGTCTTATATGTACTCATTTTAAGTCTGAAATTGTGGAGATTTGGTAACAAAAGCAATATCTCTAAATGGATAATAACTTGGGTGAAAAAAAAACAAAACATCTCATGCCCTATCCTTTAAGAAAGATGGAAGAGAAAAGGTAATTTATTTTATCAAGTGACAGAGACAGAGACTAAAAGACTATTATGATTCATTTCTTTTTTTTAAAAAAGAGAGAGTGATAGAGAGAGGGAGAGAGAGAGAGAGAGAGAGAGAGAGAGAGAGAGAGAGAATTTTTAATATTTATTTTTTAGTTTTTTTTTGGTGGACACAACATCTTTGTTTGGAT